GGATTAAAGGCTTGTACTTCAGAGCTGGATTATATTTTTTAGACAGGAATGATTCTGTACCAACAGTCTGTCCTGAAAATCACTGCATAGCTGAGAATAATTCTGCATTTTGATACTCAAAACTCCTCCTCTCTTCCCTTTCCCATACATTTTTGTCTTTCAATCCTACTGTATCTATCACTCCACTTGCACATCACATGCCTGCTACTGTGCCTGTACCACCCCCACCTCCCCACAGATCTCGTGGAGCCATCCTTCTCCATGCTCTCTGTGGACACTCAGTCTAGTTTTGAATCATACAGGAAAAGGTTAAAGAAAGCATATGTATTAAGAAAAGTAGACAGCCTTTGACTTTGTGTGGTTTCAACACCTGGTTCAGTATAATTACATTTATAGGTGTATCTATTTGCTTGTAAATTTCATTTCAATATTCTTCATTTTAGAGTCAAATTCCAGTACGTTTATATGCCACATTTCCATTCAGTGGACATCAGCTGATGGAACTCCAGGCAGATTCTTTTCTTAGTTTTTGAAACTAGAGCGACAATGGCCATGTGTGTCCATGTATCTGTGGTAGATGTTTGGACTCTTCATTATGTGTGGAGAGATGTATAGTTTGTTGAAATGGTAATTTTATATTTTACTTTTGAGGTAAACTCACAGTGATTCGCTTGTTAATTATAGCAGTTTAAACTTCCACCACCACTAAGTATTTACTTTTTCCTCATCCTCGAGAGGGTTTGAGGTCCTTAGGCTTGCATGGCAACCTTTATCATGCGTACCCATGTCCTAGCCCCACAGACATCTGTTTTAGTGTTTTCATAAAAATCGAAACAAAACCATTTAAATGTATTTATTTTGGGGGATTTTCTGCATATAAGTGATGTATTTTAATCAACTCTATGCCTTACACCCCCAGCAGCCATCTCTTAATTTACATGTTTTTTGTTTTTGTTTTTGATTACACACTGAGTTCAGTTACCGCTGTCCAAATGTGTGTGGCCATCCACAGGGCATGGGAAACCTACTGGTGGCCTTGTCCTGAAAAAACAAAACAAAACAAAAAACCCGACTCTTTTCCCTTCAAAGCCATCAGTTGCCAATACCTTCTTACCTAGGGGCGGCCTTCATGAAGACCAGTCTCATTCTGCCTGTTTTTTTAACTGATTCGATCTCAAGTGTTTTGGGAATTTTAGAATTTGGTACATGCCTTGTAGAATACTTTTTTGTGAAATTGAGTTCATCTCAATGAGAGTCCTCTTCTTTCCCTGTGTCTTTGTCCAGTGAACTTCCACAAAAATGCAATATTCATATTTATCATAGATGGTTGGTATTGTGTAGTTTTAACTCAGGAAGATCGCAGTTGTTTCCAGCTGATGTTCCGAGTGACACAGGGAGAAAAAGAAACAACGGAGACAAAGACAAAACCAAACAGTCTCCGTCAGTTCCAAGAGGCTGGAGACGGGCCGAGGAACTGCCCTCAGCTGACCCTGAGGAGTCCTGCACTGTCTGTGCTTTGGCAGAGTCATAGTCCACTTTCCGTGTATTGATATTGATGCATCCAATCCTGGTGAACAACCTGACAGAGGCAGTCCATTATCAGCCAGCTTGTAGGACATGGAGGCCTCAGGTTGGTGATTGGTTTTGCCAAAACTGATTAGTTGGCTAAGCCTTGAGGACATAAATATCACAATGTAAAAGGTATTGAAAGCAGTGAAGGAAATTTTTAGTTATGAGAGTAAAATTTATATACTTCCCTCTACCTACCTAAAGTATTTAACTGGTTGTTGGGGTCTGGGTGGGGTATTCCTGAAGGGACTCTGGTTGGCTCAAGCATGTCTCTGGCAGACTTTGCCCATCTTTCTCATTCCCTCTGCCTTGCTAAAAACCACTAGATTACATTCCAAAAGCTAGCCATCAAGGTCTCTTCCCTTATTTGCTCACTTCCTCCTCCTGAGGCTGACTACCAAGGTCCAGCTATCAAAGTATTAAAGTCCAACAATTAAAAGACCCCTTTGGTTCACCTAATTAACACGCCTATCCAAACATACCACAGCATCCTAGCCCGTTTTAACACAGACCTCCCCTTTTTCTCTTCTTAAAAATTACACCTGCAAGGGCATTTGCTGCTGTTTTTGTTTTTAATTTTGTTTTTGTTTTTCTGCCTGAGCCTGAAAACAGCCACTTTAACTTTTCTTCCCCATTTAGTAAGGAATCTCCGTGTGAAAACTGGTGTTTGGGTGTGGTTTGAGCCAAATCTAGGGTCCAGGAGGGAATCCCCACTATGTGGGAGGGGTCTCCTTTAATTTCTGTTTAGAGAAGGGTTACTTTACTTGAAGCAAAAGCATAGTACAAGTCAGAAATATGCAGTGAAAGGCATCAGCAGGCCACTTGACTGAGGGTACTCAAAGGTGTCAGTTATCTTGGGTGGCTTTGAAAGAAAATTTGCTTGCTAAGACACATAGCATGCACATAGGTCAATGTTTTGACTGACATTTTGTAAACCTTGCTAACTGCACATGACATTCTCAATAGTCATCTGATTTTAAAAATATGCAGGCCCAATTATTTAGAAGACAAATTGTAACAACTGAAAAAGAAGAAGATATTATCTTGAACACTCATTTTCGGAACAGTTTGCCTCATTGCATTTGTACATCAAGATACTTCATTGTAGGTCAGCCTATTTCCCATATGTCCTATATGTTTTCCAAAAGGTTTTGGAATACAGTAAGGAATAACTAAGGCATTTCTAAAGGAACTAACTTGTTGCTATTATTAAAGCATATATAGATACAGCCCACTAAAGATGATTGTTCCAAGAAGGATATCCACAGGTTGCTAGCTTCATTGTTCAGAAAGGGCTGTGTTCAGAGCCCAAACCAAGTAGAGTTCCAGGTCGCTCAGTTTTTCCTATGTTACCGGTTTTACTATTGTCGCCCTGGATGGTACTAAACTTGTTATCAATTCCAACTGCTCCTTTTGTTTAAAATTTTAGATTATTTACATTGCTTTCCTCTACTAAAGTACTCCAAATTCTTTACACTCAAGTTCTCTGATAAAGGGCTGAATAAAGTTATGTTCTTTTTTTTTTTTTAAATTCATTTATTTATTATGTATACAGCATATGTGACTGCAGGCCAGAAGAGGGCACCAGATCTCATTCAAGGTGGTTGTGAGCCACCATGTGGTTGCTGGGAATTGAACTCAGGACCTCTGGAAGAGCAGTCAATGCTCTTAACCTTTGAGCCATCTCTCCAGCCAAAGTTATGTTCTTGACTATAATAGCACAGCAATGGCCTTTACTGTAGTTCCAGAGTCCTTGTTACCCACCAAAACTTTCTGATCCATGCCTCCTCTGTAGGCATTTCTTTAAGCATCTCTTAGAATGATTTATTCACCTTTGTGTTCAGTGTGTTCAATTATTTTTCATGTCTAAGGAAAAATTTCTTGCAAATTCCTGCACAGTTCTTCCAAAATAAGTTAAAAATGCTCAAGGAGAACCTGGTTAGGTTTATTTACACCAATATTTCCACTTTTTCATATCTAGTTCTTATATGAGGATTTTTGTCTAGCTGTCATGTACAAATCTGAGAAAAGTAACAAGGCAGAAAGAGTTTATTTTGTCTTGCAATTGAAGGGTGCAGTCCATAAAATGAAGGACAATGAAGTGGCTGGTCAAATCACACACAATCAGGAATAGAGTGATGTATTTGTCCGTGTCTCCACAACATCCTCCCAGTGATGTAATTACTATTCAGTGCAGTTCAAAAAATGCTGCTTCTCAATATGTGGGTGCAGTGTTTTCAAAGTGATTGGCCACTGTGCTCTTGTGTTTGAGACCTTGGTGGAACTGTTTTGAAAATATTAGGAGATGGAGTCACTGGGGATGATCTTTGAGGTTTTAAAAGCCTTTTTAAAAGCCCATATGAGGCAACATGCCCATGTTTTTGCCTGATGCCTTTGAATAAGGAGTAAATTATTCAGCTACTGCTCCAGCTTCATGCATGACTGCTTCCCTTCATGATAATCATTGACTGACCCCCTGAAAGTATAAACAAGTCCTGATTAAATGCTTTCATTTGTACTCGTTGGTTTGTCATGTTTTCTGTTCACAGCGTTAGAAAAATAATTGAATCAATGGGTCTTCCTATATTACATCAAGTAACCAAGATAGTATCCCACAGATAGTCTTCAGTTAGACATATGTACATAATCACTTAGAGGTATGTATTAGGTAGGGTTTCTATTACCGTAAAGAGACCCCATGATCATGACAACTCTTATAAAGAAAAATATTTAATTGTGTTGGCTCCCATATAGTTCAGAGGTTTAGTCCATTATCATCATGGCTAAAAGCAAGGCAGCATTCAGGCAGACATGGTGCTGGAGAAGGAGCTGAGAATTCTACATCTTGACTCACAGACAACAGAAAGTTGTTTGAGACACTGGATGTTGCTTGAGTGTATATAAAACCTCCACAGTAACACACTTCTTCCAACAAGGTCATACCCTCTCCAACAAAGCCATATCTCTTAATAGTGACACTCTTTTGGGGGGCCTTTTTCTTTCAAACCACCACAAGGTGTCTTCAGAAACATCTATGGTAAAAGATTTTTTATCATGTCAGCCTGGCTGTTAAAACTAACCATCCTAAGATGTGCACTGTTTTAAGAACCAGTGACCCTTGAAGATGTGACTGTGAACTTCACTTTAGGAAAATGGTGTTTGTTGGAGTCTAGTCTAAAGAAGCTGTACAAGGATGTGGTGAAGGAAACATTATTGAACTTGATTTCCATGGGTAAAATCCAAACATGCTCCCATTGCTTGTTCAGTCAGAGAACACCTGTGTCCTGCTTATGTGTGATGTGGTGTGACTTGAATTCTTAAAGGAAATATGTGGTGAATTTAGTGGTCATACCCATGTCATGACACCTGGGTTGTAAATCTTTGTTTAATATTGAATATGTCATAATGAAATTTTTTTGGTTCCCTTCCAGAGAAATTATCAGAAGAATATATTGAAGAAGGCTACAAAGATCTTGGCAGAAATATGGAGTAATTTATATTCAATAGAAAGCAATTCATATCAAAAGTTTGGGAATCATGGGACAACTGAGAACTTGCCAAATGATCCAAATATACCTAAGTGAAAAATGATTCTACTCAAATTTATTTAACAGAGCATTGAATTGTGTCATTCAATATTTGAATATCTTATATATGTAATGTATGAGTATCACCAACATGTGATGCAACATAAATTTCTGTAAGAGCTGTTCCCGTGGTTAATTATACAAAACCTCCCTCTCATATCTAAAAGTATTTACTACCTTTCTATATATTATTTTGAGGCTTTGAATATTAGTCGTATGTTTTGTTTGCTTTCTTTTGCTGTGACCAAAACCAACTCTGGGGTGGAGCTCATTTTTATTTACTCTTCCTTGTCACAGTCCCACAATAAAGGGAAGCCAGGGCAGGAACTCAAGCCTGGCAGGAACCTAGAGGCAGGAACTGAAGCAGAGGTGATGGAGAAATGCTGTTTACTGGTGTGCTCCTCATCTCTTACTCAGATACTTCCCTTTTCCAGCAATAGCCACATCTCTAGGGAGATATCACTCGTAATGGGCTGGGCCACTCCACATCAAGCAGTAACCAAGAAAATGCCCCCAATGACATGCCTAAATATCAATCTGATAGAGCCATATTCTCCATTAATGCTCTGTCTTCTCAGATGTGTGTCCTTGCTTGTGTTAACAAAAACTAACCAGCACAGTAGATTGCTTGTCAATGTGACACACAAATACATGACTATTAATGTATAACCTTTCATGTTTTGTTTGTTCCTAAATATAGCTGAGATCACAATATAGCCAGGTAGTGGTGGCATGCACATTTAACCCTAGCACTCAGGAGGCAGAGTCAGGTGGATCTTTGAGTTCAAGGACAGCCAAAACCCAAAACAAGTAAGTAAATAGGTTAAAAAATATATAAAGCAAAATATAAGATTAGAAGTCTCCTGGTATTCAAAAATCTCATGCACTTTAAATGTTCCATCTCTTTAAAAATTTGATATCTCTTTAAAAGAACAAAAGGTCTCTATGGTAAGTTCCTGAAAAATCTTAACTACGTTTTTATTTCTCCTTTTTAAAAAAGAAGAACCAGTGCTGACTTCTGTACCAGGCTTTTTCTGTTGGGGCACCAACCAGCTCCCAAATCATGATGCAGAGTCTTGTTGTTAGTTTTGAATACTTGGCCTTAGCTTATGTTCATTTCTGGCTTTTATAACTTAAATGAACTCATTTCTCTTCGTCTACATTTTGCCTTGGGGCTTTTTACCTTTTCTTTCTGTATGTCCTAATCTGTCTGGTTGGTAGCTGCCTGGCTGGCTGGCCCCAGGTGTCTCCCTTTCTTCCTATCTCACCCTTTCCTTTATTCTTCTATTTTTCTGCTTAGATTTCTCCTCCTACTTATTCTCTCTGCCCACAAGTCCTACCCATCCCTCTCCCACCTAGCTATTGGTGTTTCAGCTTTTTATTAGACCAATCAGGTGCCTTAGTCAGGCAAGGTGAAACAGCAACACATCTTTTCATAATTAAACAAATGTACCATAAACAAATTTAATATACCCTTACAGTCTGAACAAAGGCAGCAGAAACAAATGTAACACACATTTACAGTTAAAGTAATATTCTATAGCATAAACAAATGTAACACATCTTACATAAATATTCCACAACAAATTTTCACTCAGATCAAAGCAAAACCCTCGCTCTACAGTGTAAATCATGACCTCTAGCCCCATATCTGGGATTCACTCACAGTATTTTGATTTATATGTGTCTTGCATGATCCAGCCTTTTTGGTTCCTCCATGCACAGAACATATAACTTGGCTGATTGTCTCAGACTCATTTTATCCTACAGTTGTTTCAGTCCTTGGAAATCTTCCCATGTGGTACTGGCCTCTCTAATATGCCAGAGGCTCAACACAGTGCTTCTTCACCAATGGCCTAGCTCCTCTTTAGTGACTTATATCCTACCATATTGTGCCAAGTCTGTAGCTAGAGTTTTCCTGCCTGGCCCACAGTCAGGACAAATCTCTCTCACCCGCCAGTCCCACAGCCGCTCAGACCCAACCAAGTAAACACAGAGACTTATATTGTTTACAAACTGTATGGCCGTGGCAGGCTTCTTGCTAACTGTTTTTATAGCTTAAGTTAATCCATTTTCATAAATCTATACCTTGCCACGTGGCTTGTGGCTTACCTGCATCTTCACATGCTGTTTGTCATGGCGGCGGCTGGCAGTGACTCTCCCAGCCTTCTGCTTCCCAGAATTCTCCTCTTTCCTTGTCCCGCCTATACTTCCTGCCTGGCAACTGGCCAATCAGTGTTTTATTTATTGACCAATCAGAGCAATTTGACATACAGACCATCCCACAGCACTTCCCCTTTTCTTTTTTTTAAAGAGGAAGGTTTTAACTTTTACACATCTCCAAAGCCAGCTTGGTATATTTGGGAATTTGGGCGTAGCTTCTCTTACTACTTTCTGTTGGAGGGGGCCACTGTATCTTATGGGAACACAAAGAAAATTTTAGGATTATGGAGTAGTCCATGAGGGTGTATCGTCTGAGCCAGTTGCCTTGAAACAGTTCTGGATGTTGGATCATCTAGGCCTTGGTGTCATTGGAGACCTTTCAGGGGGTCTTGGCTGGTCAAACCTGATGTATCTTAATCTGGGACAAATCCATAGCCTCTGGCTTTCTGTGGAAACAAAAGCAGAGCCTCTTTTCCAAAGCAACATATCCTTACATCCAAATTTTGAAGTCAAGGTACCTTTAAAATATACATTTTGGCATAACTCAACAGCTTTTGTAATCAAATGTTTTTTTTCAGTTACGAATATCAAAGAGAACATAATCCAGATTCTCTGTGTGGTAGCCATCTTTACGTGGCTTATTTTTTATATTACCTTGAACCTATTGCTTTAAATTGCAGCCTTCTAAGCCTGAAATGGCACTGGCGCTGCAGCTGCTGTCTCCACCCACTTCAGCTTCCCAACATGGCGGAGGTACGTTTTCCGCCAGCTCTGGGAGTCATCAACTCTCAGAAATAGTGGGTCTATGCTTCTATCAAAGCAGCGTGTAGCCCAGAAATCTCTTTTTTTGTTTTGTACTAGCAAAGGCTAAATCCACCACACAGCTTAATGTGCCAAACTGCAGGTCGAGCACGCACGCTAGGAACCCGCCAGTAGCTCAAACCGGCAGGCTGCCCCTCATTTGAGAGAAACAATTAGGAAGCTGTTTTTAGCTTCGTTTTAGAAACTTTTCTCAGGTTTTAGGTGGAAACTCTTGCCCCACGTTGGGTGCCATTTGTAGCTAGAGTTTTCCTGCCTGGCCCACAGTCAGGACAAATCTCTCTCACCTGCCAGTCCCATAGCTGCTCAGACCCAACCAAGTAAACACAGAGACTTATATTGCTTACAAACTGTATGGCCGTGGCAGGCTTCTTGCTAACTGTTTTTATAGCTTAAATTAATCCATTTTCATAAATCTATACCTTGCCACGTGGCTCGTGACTTACCGGCATCTTCATATGCTGTTTGTCATCGTGGAGGCTGGCAGTGTCTCTGACTCAGCCTTCCACTTCCCAGAATTCTCCTCTCTCCTTGTCCCGCCTATACTTCCTGCCTGGCAACTGGCCAATCAGTGTTTTATTTATTGACCAATCAGAGCAATTTGACATACAGACCATTCCACAGCACTAGTCTCAGCTTCTCCTAAACCTCTTCTATCCTGTCGTTTCCAATTCAACTAAATCTGCACCTTCAGTGATGGCCTCCCCTGCCCTTTGGTGGTGTTAGGCTGAGTTTCTCTCCAAGATCCCTTCAATCCTGCAGCTCTCAAGATGCCAAGACCAGTACTGCCTGGAAAAAAGCTCATAAATTACCATGTTCTGCAGCCGATTTGAGATGCAGTCTTGGCACCCTCTGGACCATTTGTCTGTGTGCCAACTGAAATCTCTTAATATTTCCCTTAAATGATGCTGTTTTCTTGTTAATCCCAGCTCTGTTTTCAAGCTCAGCTGACAAGAAAGCACAGTCTTAATATAAAATGTCACAGAAACTGCCTCGGTAGAGGCTTTTATGACCCGTCCGTCATTTCTGAAACTGCATAAACCAGACTTCCCTCTTTTCATTGCTCTCAGCATTGCATCCTCAGAGCTCATTAAGAACTGAGCATTCAGTGATTTTTCCAGCTTGATATTCTAGGCATTCTCTCAGTCCTCATTAAAACCATGGTCAGCTCTCTAAGCATTACCCCATGAACCTGGGGGCCAAATCTATTGTAGAGTCCTCTCTGTTCCTGTGATAAACACCATAACCAAAGTCATCTTTGGGGCAGTGGAGCTCATTTTTGCTTACACTTCCATGTTACATATAGTTCAGCAAAAGAAGGCAGGTGGGAGCTAGAAATAGGTGGAAACCTGGAGGCCGAACTGAATTGGAGACTGAGGAGAAATGCTGCTTACTATCTCGCCCTTCGTAGGTTACTAAGGCACCTTTATAGACTCATACCCACCTACCCAGGGGCACAGCTCTCCTTCATCAATGAGGAATGAGAAAATGCTCCCACAGACTTGTTTCCAGGCTGATCTCATTGAGCCATTTTCCCAGTTGAGGGTCCCTATTCTCAGATGACCCTAGCTTGGGTGAAGTTTGTAACTAAGTAACCAACACAGGCTGAGTATTTAGAATGCAAAAATGTCAGTATTTCACTACTTTATGTGATTGTTATGTCTCTTAATGCCAAGGCCTTTGCGTGCATGTTCACTCTTTTAGGCGCCCTTAATTATTTTATGTGTATGTGTGCTTGTGACACCATCTTTGAAAAAAAAAATTGTGGAGGCCAGAAGAGAGAGGGCAGCAGATCATTCAGACCAAGAGTAATAGGAACTTGTGAGCCTTCATATGAATGCTGATAATCAAACTCTAGTGTGTTGGAAGAGCAAGAATTGTTCTTAACCCCTCAGCCAATGTTACAGCTCCTTTATAATTCTTATAGAAGTAAAGTCAATTCTCTGCTCCTTTACACACGCAGGGTCTTTATTGTAGTCCATATTGTCCTTAACAGTAATGGCATTCTTCTGCCCCTGCAATAGTATGGTTGCAGTGGTCCACACAAGCCAGCCTCCAACAGTTCACTTGTTTACAGTAATGCTCTTTTCATTTTTTGGAAGAACTCAGGTAGTTGAGAAAGTCTGTGGATATAAATGTGATAGTTAGTGTGATGAAACAATTCCAGAGAATATGGTTAATGAAGACATGCCTCCCTTCATAAGAGTGTATGAAAGCTGACTGCATGTATGAAACAACATTGTTCATTCATCCTTACATATGTACCTCAAAGACAAACTAGGAGAAACAATCTGAATATGTGGAAGTTTTGGCAGCTTTTACACATCAGAAACACTGGAAAGGTATCAGTCGTTCTGAATCACTTCAGATACTTGAATTTTTTTTCTACAGAGAAACCCTGTGGAAGTGAATAATATAATCAAGCCTATAGGAGCCGTTCTTTTGATCAGTCCCAGGAGAGAAATCACACTGGAGATAAACTTAATGCGACTATCTTAAGAAGATACACCATAATAAAAATGGTGTTAGGGAGTTGTGATCACATATTTTTGCATTTATAAATATATATGCAACAATAATAAAGAAAAACATGCCTTCAATTTCATACGGTATTGTGGAGACATTGGAAGGGTTGAAGGGAAGTGTAATTAATGTTTAATTAGACTTTTAAAAGTGTTTGGAAAGTTGGTTCAACAGTTGTAAATATCGTACTGAACTCAGGTTCAGTAATAGGCACACTCATGGTGGCACACAAATGTCTTTGATTACAGATGCAAGGCATTCAATGCCTCCTCTGGACTTTAGAAAACATAATGTCTTTGGTGTCATTGTATACTGATTAATTTTTATTGTTAATTTGACACAAAACGAGCATCACTTTAGAAGAGAGAATTTCAATTTTGAAACTATATTGATCAGATAGGCCCTCAGTGATGTCTGTGAGGGATACTTTTGATGGATTTGGGAGTGCCTAGTCCAAGATGGTCAGCATCATCCTTATGCAGGTTTGTGTAGTCAATATAAGAATGCTAACTGATTATGAGCCAGTAATCACATTTTTCCATAGTTCCTGCCATGGCTTCCCTCAGTGATGGATTGTGACCTGAAAGTGTAAGCCAAATTAACTCTTTCTTTGCCTAAATTGTTTTTTTTTATGGTATTTATCACAGCAACACAAAGCAATTCAAAGCACTTAGCAATGTCAGAAAACTCTACCATGTGGCGTAATCTTCATAGATATTGTGGGACTATTCAAAAAGTGATCAGATTCCAATTGTTTAAAGTTGATACACAACAAAATGGTAGCTTTGGTATGAGAAGGTAGATTTGTACAGTGTGTTTCGTTCTCCTTTCCTCTTGCATTTTGAGGACAAGAGGGTGTAGACTTGGATACTTTCTGCCTTTATAATGAATAAAGTTATATTTGCTCCTCCTCAGTCTTAGTTCCCTTCCAATTACTTCTTGCCTCATATTTTTTCTATTTGTTGACATGCTTTTAAAAGTTTTAGTCTAGTTTATTGAGGCAGGGGATTACATGAATGTAATACCAAGCATGAAGACAAGGAAAATATGCAGATTAATATCTCTGTTTGGATCCTGATGGTCAGCAATTCCTTTCTCTGGCATAAACTGTGACCAAGATGTGGTCATGTGACTGAGGAAAACTATAAGCATGATAGAAATAAGGTCTAGGAGGATGTCCATAAGGGTTGCACTAGCCAAGGCATCTCTCTCTTGAATGTAGATTTTTATAATCCTCATAAAAAAAAACGAACTGGTTAGTGATATAAATATTTAAAAATATCCATCACAACTAAATAGTAATCATGGAGTGTATTAGACTTTTAGATTATTTTTCAATCATTAATGATAATGTCCTTGTACAATAGATCTAAAGAAGGGAATACTAGACTTCCAGAGTGGGTTCTTTTGTTTTACAGACATTTCATATAACATAGCCATTGGATCCTAAGGGAAACATAGTTTACACTGTCTCCAAAATATTGTGGCCACATGTCCACATTTTTGCCAAATCATTCCAGATTCTTAAAAAATAATGATCTATATGCCAGAAAAAATACATTTCCTCTTGGAAAAAAGGTCAAGTTTAAACCCTGCCAGTGAAGGCTACTTGTGGATCCCGACTCTCTGACTGGGAAGCTTATTCCTGGATGACTAATTAAAGCTAGATTTCAGTGGAAACCATGCTATCCCAGTCCTTGGTAAGCCTTTAGGCCTTGGTTCTAGCCAAATTGACTGGAATTGAGCAGTGTAATAACTACATTATAAGGGGTCCATTAACAATATTCAAACTGTGTCAGATCAACTTAGCTTCACCAGATCTCAAGTAAGCAGGAGATATTTAACCCCAACCTTAGCATCTATTGAAACCCTCAGTATGAAATTTAGGCCTCTATTAAATCTTATAAATAAATAAAATGTTATTTATTTCTATATAAGAATATTTACTTTCACCATGAAAAATAATTTTAATTCAGACATGAAGAGTTAGCATGGATACAGAACTTTTAATAATAATTTATGTTCAGAAATTTCTAATTTTTATTTCATATTTGGTGATATTCATGGTTAGCAAAAATAGTAAGACAAATTTATTTTTATGACAGTTTGGATGTTGTACTGTCTTGTTTTTGGTGTCAACTTGACACAAGCTAGGGTCATCAGAGAGGAAGGAACTGCAGTTGAGGAAATGCCTCCATGAAATCAGCTATAAGGCATTTTGTTATTAGTGATCAGTGGGGGAGGGCCCAGCCCATAGTGGGTGGTGCCATCTCTGGGCTGGTGCTCTTGGGTTCTATAACAAAGCAGGCTAAGCAAGCCAGTAAGCAGCACCCCTTCATGGCCTCTTCATCAGATCTTGCCTCCAGGATCTTGTCCTCTTTGAGTTCCTGTCCTTGACTTTCTTCAGTGATGAGCAGCAATGTCAATGTGTAAGCCAAGTAAAACCTTTCCTCCCTGATTTGGCTTTTGGTCATGGTGTCTTGTTGCAGCAATAGAAACCCTAACTAAGACAAATTGGTACCAGGAGTGGGGTATTGCTGTGAGAGGCCGTATCATGCTTTTGTCTAAAAGACTATAGACCTTTGACTATGGATTAGAAAAAGCAGTTGGACTTTGGATTGGAAAAGCAGTTGAATGCTCTAGTTGCTGCTTAATGGGACATCCTAGAAGAGCATGGAAGACAGTGGTGCTGAATGTGATCTGAACTGTGGGTACCTAGATCAAGACATTTTGGAGGACAAGAATGTTAGTATGTAGTGTAGAGACTGGTTTTGTGATATTTTAGTGAAGAATTTGGCTGCCTTTTGCCCTTGTCCAAAGAGTCTGCCTGAGGCTAAAATGAAGAGTTTGGGATGAATTCCATCTGCAGGGGAAATCTGAAAATAGCCTAGTATAGACTGTCTTGTGGTTATTAGTGTTAACTTTAATGAAGATTTATAATGAAAAGGAGCAAGCTACTCAAATAAAAATACAAAATGTATAGACTGGGAAAAGGAGCACCTGAAGTGGAATAGAACTAAATCCTGTGTTCAAGGAGATAAAGAGTTTAAGAAATGGAATAAAGGGAGTGGTGGTGACTGAATGAAAGAAAAGAAAAAAGAAAGGAAAGGACATGAGTAATCCTAGGTATGGTGGAGGAGAAAGTTTATAGTGGATATGTGGGAAAGCATAGTCAGAGGCACGGATATCTGGAAGAGTCCTGAGTGGACATGACCAGGCTGAGCTGGGCCATGTGGGGAGAGGGGAAGAGGAAGGGAGAAAGGAGAACCAGTTGTAGCAGCCAGGAGGCCAAAGGTACAAGAGGGAGGAGGGTAACCAAAATGTCTGGATTATATAGAGAAGAGCCTCTGGAGAAAGGTTAGCCCAGGCTCTGGGCTGGAGAGTTCAGGGTAGAGGGTGGGATGTGCAAGCCATACCCTGTAACATGTAGGGACTGAGCGATGCTGGGAGAACCTGGCGGCTAGGTCCAGCTTTGAATGGAATGAGAAATCTGCCTGACTCCATTTTGAAGACAGGAGCCATTATGGTGTATTTTTAAAAATAAGTTTCTATTTACTATGAGAGTTGAGTTGCTGTCTGTTTCCTGGAAACTGACCTTCCCCAACACATGACCTTGGTTTATTTTTGAGAATATACCCTTACCCTCTCTGATCCTCTCTAATCACATGCTTACCATCTGACGTTTTTTAAAGATTTTTCTGTATTTCATTATTGTCCCATTGTCTCCATTCTATAAACTGTTCACGACTTTACTCCTTCAAGGGATCAGGAGATAGATTCAGGGCTGCTCCTCTCTCTTTTTTTTTTCCCTTGTGGAGAGTATATTATAATAGAGAGATGAAGAGAAAGATAGGAAAGAGAGAGACAGAGAGAAAGAGAGAGCCAGGTCTGCTCTCTTTAACCTGAAATTCTGAGGCTTCTAGCACATCTCCTATTAATAACTGATCAATTTCATCACTACCTTATGCTAGAGCGTCTAGTAGACACATTTGGGATCTGATATGTGTTATATTCAATGGATGTTTTCTATTTCTGATTACTTGTAATTGAATGAATAACAAGTTAATTCTGAGTCATCTGGAGTAAGTTCAGTGGTTTCAATATGTAAAACAACTTTCTTCATATTGAGAGTCAGTAACTATATTAAGAGATTCAGGAAAATCTAAGAATACCATAAGAATGGCATATAGCTCTGATTTTTGAACTGAATTATAAGAGCTTTGAGGCATTTTACTTATTTTCCCTGTCTTACAGCCTTCCCTTCCTGATTTATTTACATCAGTATAGAATGTAGGGACTCCAGAAATTGGTGTCCCTTTTACTATATGTGGGAGAATTCAATTAGTTCTTTTTATAATCTGAAGTCTTTGTTTTGGGGATATTTGTTGTTAATATCTCCAAATCTATTTGCCAACATTTATTTTCTGCCAATAATGAGACAATTTCAGCATTAGTAAAAGGTATCACAATTTCTGCTGGGTCTATTCCTGCTAATCAACAAGGTCTTATTTTTCCTTTCAGAAATCTATTCTACATAGGTCTTTTAAGTTTTTACTCTCTTTGTGTGCTAAAAAAAATACATTCTAAGATATTATTTTCCCTCTGCATAAGAATTCCTATGAGTAGGAGGCAAAATAAATAAAATATAATTGGGCTCTGGATCCAAGTGATCTACATGTGCATCTAGTAATTTCTTTTCTATCAGAAACAGTTCTCTTTCAACCTCAGCTGATAATTTTCTTGGGTTATTTAAGTCCTTATCACCTTGTTAGGTTTGAAATAAATCACTTAGCTCTTGAGTAGTTTAATACAATTGTGGTCTGTAGCCAGTTAGTATCTCCCAGAAAACTTTGAAAATAATTGAGAGTTTGTAATTGATCTCTCCTGATTTGTACTTTTTGTGGTTGAGTTTTTTGTAAACCTATCTTACAGCCTTGATAATTGATAGAATCTCCTTTTTTGTATGTTTTCAGGAACAATTTTTAACCCCCAGCAACGTAAAATTATCTTTACTTCATCAAATATTTTTTCTAAATTATCTGCCTCTGAATCAACCAGCAATATATCATACATATAATGATAAATTTTAGAGTGAGGAAACTTTATAAATTATTTCTAATGCCTGTTGTATAAAATATTGAAACAAACTGGGGCTTTTTAACATTCCTTGTGGAAGAATTTCCAACTAATATCTTTTAACAGGTTGAGTATTATTATAATTAGACATTGTGAAGGCAAGTTTTTTTCTTTATATGGTTCTTTTAAAGGTATAGTAAATAAAGGAGTCTTTTAAATCAGTTGCTATATAGATCATCACTTAGGTAATAAAGAAGGCAATGCAAAACAAAAGAAGGCAATGAAATTCCAGTCTGTAAAGAGACCATTGACTGAATCACCTTATTTATGGCTCTTAAATCTGTTTATATTCTCCATTTTCCAGATTTCTTTTTAATGACAAATATAGGAGCATTCCAAGGACTGGTCAATTCTTCAATATATTGAGCATTTATCTGCTCCTGTACCAGCTGTTCTAGTTCTTGTACCTTTTCTGATGTCAAAGGCCATTGTCTCCCCGGACACACAGGTTTATCCATTAACCATTTTAAAGACAGGGTAGTTGGTACCTTTGAAAGACCAACAGCTGTTGTGTTCTTCTTCTGTACAACCTGAATTGTCTGTGACTATTCTTGATAATACCATAATACCTTTTAAAGTTTTCTCAGAAGCATTCTTTTTTTTTTTAATTTTTCTAGACAGGGTTTCTCCATGTAGTTTTGGTGCCTGTCCTGGATCTTGCTCTGTAGACAAGGCTGACCTCGAACTCACAGAGATCTGCCTGCCTCTGCCTCCCAAGTGCTGGGATTAAAGGTGTGTGCCACCATTGCCCAGCATCAGAAGCATTCTTTATCATTTGCTTCTGAGATTGAAGGAATGTTAACCTGTGTTTTCCATCAGTGCAAGAAATCATGTCCCCATAAATTCATTGCTATGTTAGTCACATATGGCTTTAATTTTCCTATTTGTCCTTCTGGTCCTATAAACTCTACCCATCTTTTACTTTGTTTTACCTGAAATAAAGTTCCAATGCCTAGAAGATGAAAATTTACTTCCTGAAGAGGCCAATCTGGATGCCAAGATTTTTGTGAAATTATTGTTAATCTGCTCCATCTAGTAATCACTCAATTACAATGTCATGTATTTGTAGTTTTCACTGAGACCAAAGTGAAAACTACAAATACATGACATTGTAAAACAAAAATTTTTTGTTTTAGCTACCAATACTACTCTGTTCTTGATTACATCCAAATCAGTGTTTTAACAACAGACATTAAATTTTCTAATTGTTTTGTGGATGAGTTTCTCTGATGCTGACAGTGAATGATTGAATCCAATTTGGTATCAGGACCTGCAGGAGGCCCCCTAGTGTATTTTCTGGTCGCAAAGGGTTACCTTTCCTCTCCCTTGTTGATCTGCATTTGTTAGTCTAATGCTGGCCTTTGATACTTTCTGTACACTCCAGAAGATTGGGGCCTTGTGTTTGGATTATTTCTAGAAAAGACATTGTTTCTAGAAATGCCTTGCCTACAATCCCTTTTCAAATTACCTTGCTTAACACAATTAAAACATCTGAAACTTTGATTTTTTTCTTAGAAGTTTTAGAAATTACTTCTCCTATCAGAATATCATAATAAACATGAGATCCAATGTCAGCTGTATTTCTAATCAATTCATCTATTGGTGCTGATCTTGCTTTTAAAGACTTAAACACATCTTTGCCTTCTGAATTAGCATTTTTGAAAGCTAAAGAATCGATTAATATTTGTCTGCTTTCTGGATCTGATATTATTCTATTTACAGTTGAGGTCAATCTTTGCAAAAAAAATTAGTGAAGGCTTTTTAAAGCCTTGTTTAATTTTAGTAAATGACTTAGAATTTAAGGAATTTTTTTTTCCTTTTCGAGACAGGGTTTCTCTGTGTAGCTTTGCACCTTTCCTGGAACTCACTTTGTAGACCAGGCTGGCCTCGAACTCACAGAGATCTGCCTGCCTCCACCTCCTGAGTGCTGGGATTAAAGGCGTGCGCCACCACTGCCCAAATTTAAGGAATTTAAAGCCCCTAAATTATATAGTGCCAATGCCATAGTGCTCACCAAATTCAAACTGCCTTTTAAACCCAGCATATTGACCTTCACCTAGGAATTGATCTTGGGAAATATTAGTATTTCTAGCCCTATTTGATTGTTCTATGGCCCTAGCTTCCTATTTCCACCATGTTCTCCATTGTAACTGAGGATCCTCTTTGAATATTGCTGTTGCCAAGTCTTTCCAGTCTTGGGGAAAAATCTGTTCTGAGTTGCCCATCAATCTAATATGTGCTTCACATAGGGTGAATGCATACCACCTGAAACAATGACTTCCATAAGTCTCCTGAAATCTAAGTATTCCATTGAACTTCTTCATAACCTTTGTGGGTGCCTATCATCTGCTGGTAGTTCTTGTATAGTAACTGGAAAAACTAAGATTGGTTTTCTAACAACCTTGGTCCATCCCTCCTCAGTTTCATCATGTACTAGCATGGTAGGGTCTTGTCTAAATTCCTCTGTATTTGAATATTTTTCTTACGTTTTAAAAAAAAGTCTTTCTAACGCTTGTATCTTATCAATCCACATCTCATATTTGACACAAAATCCACTATGGCTACTAAGGATAAAATATGAATTACTAGGATGATAGAAATTACAATCAGCACTATATCAATCCTAGCTAAGTAATTTATCCCCTAATTTCCTGCTTCTGTTTTCAAGCCACCCAAAGTGCTACTATATGGGGTCCCAATGCCATGCATTATAACTCCCATTCTCAATGTAGGAAAGTTTTTTTTTATTTTAATATTACTCAACTCTCTCCTTAAGGACCTCACAGGTGTCTTATCAAATCTGATAACTTCTAATTTTTTTCTGCTGCTGGGGTGATTTCTCTGTCTGTGTGGTCACACCACACCTTGAAGCACCAAATGTTTTTAATTATGTCTCTACTGTTCTATTTTACCAATAAAGACTGTTAGCTACAGCATTTCTTTGTTTAGATTTAGACTGGATGACCTCTCTATTGGAGAGATGAGATATTGAAGTATCCCCTTATTATTGTGTGAGAGTCAGTATGTGGTTTAAACTGTAGTCGTGTTTCTTGTATGAACTTAGGCCCACAGTGTTTGGTGCATAGATGTTTAGAATTGCAATATGCTCTTAGTTCATTTTTCTTTGCCTGAGTATATAGTCGCCTCTATCTTTTATAATTAATTTTGGCTTGAAGAGTATTTTTTCAGGTATTAAAATGGGAACTTTGACTTGCTTCTTGGATCCATTTGCTTGGACCATCTTGTTCTATCCTTTTATCCAGAAATAATATCTATCCTTGATTGTAAGGTATGTTTCCTAGATGCAGCTATTTTGTTGGTGTGGGATGTGTGTGTTCCCTTCTTTTGATTTGATGGTCTGGGATTATTTACTCCTTGTGTTTCTTGGGTGTGGTTAACCTCTTTAGGTTACAGTTTCCTTCTAGCGCATTTGTAGGTCTGTATTTGTTGGCAGACATTGCTTAAATTTGGTTTTATCATGGAATGTCTTATTTTCCCCATCTATTTTGATTCAAGGTTTTGCTGAGTATAGTCACCTGGCTGGCATCTGTGGTCTCTAAGAGTCTGTAAAACACCTATCCAGGCCCTTCTGGCTTGTAAATTCTCCACTTAGATGAGTCAGGTGTTATCCTAATGGGTCTGCCTTTATATGTTACTCGGTCTTCTTCTCCAGCATCTCTTCATATTCTTTCTTTGTTTTGTACATTTAGTGGCCTGATTATTATGCGCTGATGGGATTTTCTTTTTTGTTCTACTCTATTTGATTTTCTATACGGTTCTTGTATTTTGATAGCCATCGCCTTCTTTAGGCTAAAGGAATTTTACTCTGTGATTTTATCGAAACTGTATGCTGTGCCATTGACCTTCTCCTTCTTCTAGTATTTTTAAATTTGTTCTTTCATACAGTAACTGATTTTCTGGATTTTTTTTGCCTGGACTTTTTTTACATTTTCTTTGACCAAAGTATCCATTTCTTCTATTATATCTTTAATACCTAAAATTTTCTCTTCTATCTCTCTCTCTCTTTTTTGTTTGTTGGTTTTGTTTTTTGGTGTGTCTTGCTTATGAGGTGCCTATCTGAGTTCTGAATTTTTTATTTCCAATTTTCTTTCCATTTGAGTTTTTATTTATTGATTTTTTTTGTTGTTGTTTTAATTTATTTATTTATTATATATACAGTGTTCTGTCTGCATGTATGCCTGCAGGCCAGAAGAGGGCACCAGATCTCATTACAGATGGTTGTGAACCACCTTGTGGTTGCTGGAAATTGAACTCAGGACCTCTGGAAAAATAGCCAGTGCTCTTAACCTCTGAGCCATCTCTCCAGCCCTATTTATTTATTTTTTAATTCTATTTTAGATTCTATTTCCATCTTGAGTTCTCAAATGTTATATTCATTTTATTTCACTATTTCTTTGTGTTTTCACAGATTTCTATAAGAAATTTATTCATGGCTTCTTTAAGGAGCTCAAAAGGCTGTTTTAAGGTCTTGTTCTTCAGCTATGTTACAACACTCAGGGCCTGCTTTGGATCAGTTGCTAGGCTCTAGTGGAGATATATATTTCCTGGCTGTATTGATTATGTTTTTAAGCTGGCATCTAGTCATCTGGGTTTGGGAAGATTGTCATTCTAGGGTTTATTATATGGTCTTATCTTGCTTGGATTCGTGTTTTGTTCCTTGGTTTCCTTTGCCTTCTATGGTTCTTAGCAGAGTGTAGTGGGTATGTGTTGCCAAGCACACAGTTCTTCTGGGAATTTGATAAGTGGGGCACTGAGGTTTCCAGATAAAATATGTTTGTAGGCATTGGGAGTTCGCACTTAGGAATGGGGATAAGCTGGGCGCTGGGTAATGATGTCATCCACAGGAAGGATGAATGAAGGGGGTCCTACCAGGTTCTGCTTGGTCCCTTGGTATATGCAGCCTACAGTATGGAGAGACCACAGCAGATCTTCATGTAGCCTACCCGCTTTTGCTGAGCAAAGTGAATTTCAGGTTCCCAGGGAATGTGTGTTGGTTTTGGGGGCTGGGATATAACAATGAGTGGGTCTAAGGAAGTTTTTAGATCTGTGTGATCAACTGAAGAAAGGGGCAGAGAAAAAGGGGAATCTGGAGCAGGTGGTCTGCTGCAGAGTTTGGAATGAGACTGGGGGATTTGATTTAAGGGAATGGAGGGAGAGGTGGAAATTTGCAGTTAACCTACCTGCTTCCCTGGCCTGAGTGGCTGTAAGGTTCATTGGAAATTCTTCTGGTGTTTGGGCTGGTTAAAGTGATGAATATGGGAAAAGAAATTAGTAGTCAATGGGGCCCAGCCCAGCCCATGGCGGGTGATGCAGTCCCTGGGCTGCTGGTCCTGGGTTTTATAAGAAAATAGGATGAGCATGCAAAGGGAAGAAAGGCAGTAAGCAGCTTACCTCCGTGGCCTCTGCATCAGCTCCTGCTTGCAGATTCCAGCCCTGCTTGAGTTTCTGTTCTGACTTCCTCCAATGATGGACTATGATATGGAAATGTAAGTCAAATAAACCCTCTCATCCCCAACTTGCTTTTTGGTCATGTTTTTTCATCGAAGCAATAGCAACCCTAACTAAGAGAGTAAACTTGAACTAAAAGTAGGCCAGAAGGGATCTGTCTGATTTTCACACATCCTGGATATATTTTGGAATGTATTTGAATAACAATGGGGTTTGCTAAGGGTTTTCTAATGGGAGTATCTTACTTACATTATTTCAAGCAGGTATATGAATAGCCTGATGCAGGGTTGTTGGTGTATATCCTAGGTTGCTAACATTATGTAAAGTTTCTTGTTCAAGCTGTGATGTGTACTTCACACAAGGCTAACAGGGTCCCATATTGCTAACCCCTTCCCAGGGTTGCTTGTCTTTATATAATTGGGGCATCATACCATTGGACAACATAATTTGCCCTTGCCCACTTTTTAAAATTTATTCTCTCATACAATACATACTAACCACAACTCCCCTCCCTTTACTTCTCCCAGTCCCCCTACTCAGCTTTCCTCCTCTGCAGATCCACTGTTCATCCATTTATATTTGCTCCTCCTCAGTGTTAGTTCCCCTCCAATTATTTCTTGCCTCATATTTTCTCTATATTTGTTGATGTGCTTTTAAAAGTTTTAGTTCAGTTTGTTGCGGTAAGGGATTACATGAATGTAATACCAAGCATAGAAACAAGGAAAATATACAGAGTGATTCCTCTATTCAGATCCTGATGGTCAGCAATTCCTTTCTCTGGCATAAACTGTGACCAAGATGTGGCCATGTGACTGAGGAAATCTGTAGCATGATAGAAATAAGGTCTAGGAGGATGTCCATAAGGGTTGCACTAGCCAAGGCATCTCCCGCTCTCTCTCTCTCTCTCTCTCTCTCTCTCTCTCATATAGATTTTTATTAAGCTAGAAAAATGTGATGGCTAATCTTAGTCATCAGTTTGACTATATTGGGAATGATCTAAAATCCAGGAATGGAGGGCACACTTATAATCCAGATCTTGAGACAAGAAGACAACATACATTTGATCTGGATCTTGAGGCTGGGTGACAAACACCTTTAATCCAGACCTTGAGGATGAAAGGCACACCTTTAATCTGGGCCACACCTTCTTACAATATGGGGTTGATAATAAAATCTATTCTATCTGTGCATAACCTGTAACTCTGGGCATGCTAGTGAAGTATGCCTGGAACAAAATGATGTGATTTGTATCTCTTAAAAATCATGAATATCTTTTAAATCTGCATAAATAAAGGAATTTTCTGTTTGCTAGTAAGTCAGACTTACAAAGTCTTCCCGTCTGGGTGTCTGACTCAACCCTTTCCTCACCTGATCCTTACATTCTCTCTGGAACCTGTTCACAGCTAGGGATGGCCCCCAGCAGAAGCCTATTAAGGACAAGGGAAGAAGGAATGGAGTGTGTTCGTTCTTTGCCTGCTTGTCCTTGCCTTGTCTGCACATCCATACCTTCACTGGCATTGGAGCCTACTTCTTCGGGATTCCAGAATATACAGAGGACCGTTGAGACACGCAGGCTCATGGGTATGAGTAACTACTAGATTTTTGGACTTTCCCTTCGCAACTAGGCACCATTGGACTCCAGTGTGTAAATCATTCTAATAAATTCCCATATATATATGGAATATCTATATATGGGATATACATATATATATGGAATATCTACATACATATACACACACATATGATAGAGATTCATTCCACAAGTTCTGTGACTCTAGAGACCCCTGACTGATACAAAGGATGAGATATTTGAAAACGTCATAAGATAGAAAGTCAAAGAAAGGAAGATGAAAGGTGCTCATATTCGACAGACAAACACTGACTTGACGGTTTGTCTTGCTCCAGGAAGACTCTGACTGCCCAGTGCAGTGACCTGGTTACCCTGTAATGGGCTGACACCCTGAAGACTTTTAATTATGACATGGTAAGCAGACAGCAGTAGATTTAAAGAGAAAGACAATACTCCAACAAAGGCTGAGGAGTAAATATTCCCCACCAGCGGCTTCCATTGTGGAGAAGGGAATGGAGTTTATGTGAGAGCAATTTTGCCTTAGGAAAAGTGTTTGGTTTTCTTCAGGAACAGAGTCATTTTGTCCCTCGCTTCCCAAAGATTTCATGTGGCTGTGTGTTTAACCTGAAAATTGGGAGGAATAAGGCTGAATCCACAATTGTCCAACTGAAGCAAGCTTTATTTTGGGGTGTACCCAGGACTGGCCTGTCTGGTTGCCTTTCTCTAAGTAGGGAATTTAGGGAGCAACCCCTGCCGGCATCTTGAGGTCCTTTTTATGGGAGAGATAAAGTGTTCAAGAGTTGGCTGCTGGACGTTGTTAGAGAGTTACAGTGAAATTGAAGGACCAAGGGTAAGGAGATACATCATGTGAATGGGGGCGCAAGTTTAGTGTCGGTTGAAAAACATGCTTTGCAGTTTACACCAGATCTAAGATACAGAAACTTATTCTAAATGACAAATGGAAACCTTAATTTTCAAGGACTTAACACAGGACAAACAGGAACTTAATCTTTAACTGCAAACAGAAACCTTAACCTGAAAGGTATATTGTTCCTGTTCTGGTCTCACACATGAACATTGCAGCTTGAAATGTTTCCTGTAATTTGTTCCCACAAAGAGTTTCTTCTTTCTTTCTCCTTTGACTCACTTGCTTGCATCTACAAGCACACACAAGAATTAACAAAGCAGTGGCATTCTGTAACTTGACATTCTGTAACATTAATGAGGAGAAAGCGGAAAGAGAAAAAAATCCTGGTTGTTACAGAAAGACGTATTTTACTTTAATTAGGTCTCTGTGTATGTCAGCATGAGAGTGTTGGTTTCAATAGAGACACAAAGAAGGTTTCAGATCAGGACTGGAGAGATGGGTCGAAGGTTAAAAACATGGACTGCTGTTCCAGAGGATCTGGGTTCAATTCCCAGCACTCACATGGCAGTTTACAACTTTTTGTAACTCCCGTTCCAGGGGATCTGACACTAATACACATAAAATAATTTTTTCTTTTTTTAGAAAAGAAAGTGTATGATTACCTGGGCTTGGAGTTCCAGGCATGTGTGAGCCACCTGTCCTGGGTTCTGGGAACAAGTTCCACTCCTCTTTTAGAGCAGCAAACGCTCTTATCTACTGAACCATCTCTTTAGACCCAAGACAAAACTTTATTATCACTTGTTTTCTTAATCTTGGCCATTCTGACTTGTGAAAGATTAATTATCGACACTGATGTAAATTCACTCCCGAATACGCCATTTCTGACAGCCCAGGGTACTGAGCGCTTTAAACCAGTTTCTTTATTGGTTGTTGTTTTTTTTTTAATTTGAAAATTCTTTTTGAAGCTTAGGCCTTTTTCTGTTCTTTTGGGTTTTTCTTTTCTTTTCTTTTTTTTTTTAAATGTGGTTTTCTCTGTAAATATGGAGGACCTGCAACCTGCTAAGCAGACCAGTCTTGACTGAACTCAGGGATCCACCTGCCTCTTCCTCCCGAGTACTGGTATTCAAGGCATATGCCTATTCACGAATGATGCTTAATGTTCGTGCTTCCCAGCAAAGTGACACCAAATAGCATATCATAGACAATAAGATCTCTCTGCTGTCATCAAGAAACACAGCTCACCATCAAGGAAGGATGCTGCCGTGGGTAAAAGGCTGGAGAGAGGTGTTCAAAGCAAAGGCACCAACAAACAATGGCTGTTCGGGTTAGTTTTATGTCAAATTCACACAACTAGTCATGTGGGAAGAGAGAGTCTCAAGTGAGAAAATGTCCCCATCAGAGCTTCCTGTAAGAAACACTATAGTGAAGTTTCTTTGGTTCATTTTTTTGAAAGAGGATCTCACCCTAGGTATTTGTGGCTAGTCTGGAACTTGCTATGTAGAACACATTGGTCTTGAACACCTAGAGAACCATACCTTGCACTACCAACTCCAACATGGGATTAAAGCTATGTACTACTATAATCTGTGACCATTTTTTTTTATTATTAATGATTGATATAGGTAGGCCCAGTTCATTAGGGACACTGCCACCCCAGGGCAGATGGTCCTCCATGGTATAAAATAGCAGGCTGAGCTACCTATGAGGAACAAGCCACTAATTAATATTTTCCATGTCTTCTGCTTCCTTTTCTGCCCCCAGTTTCATGCCTTTGCTTCCTACTCTGATTTCTTTTGACTGTGATAGACTGTGGTGTGGGATTGGAAGTGAAAATAATCTTTATTTTCCAAGTTGACTGTGGTCCTGGTGTTTTATCACAGCCATAGAAACTCTTACTAAGACAAGGGCATATCTAGTATAATATCAGAAGACAAACTTCAGGGCAAAACTAGTCTGAAGAGGGTCACTTAGTGCTTAGCAGAGGAACAACCTGCCAAGAGGAATTTACACTCCTAAACACACATGCCACACACATTGGTGTAATCAATTTCAGAACTGACACATTGGTCCTGGAAAGCCTTATCCAGGAGGGATGAGCGCTTCCCTGTAGCCTTAGAGAGTCTCCCCTCCCTCTTCATTCTTCCCTGCCTCGGCATAAGCTGTCCCTTCACCAGACTCCTTCCAGCTGGATCCTCAGGTGAGAAGTTTGTGCTTTCCTCCACTCTCCATGTGGGGTTTAAATGGTTAATCAGTCCAGCTGTGATCATCTTTGGACATCCCCCAAATGGAGGTTGCTTAGCTAGGAGGACAGTCACTCAAAGCATGACTAAGACTAGTCACAACAGTCCTCCCTCTCATATGAAGAACATCTGTGATGGTCATGTTGTAGAGACACAGTTTGGTAGACCCACATAGAGGCGGGGAGAGATGACTCAGCTGTTAGGAGCACAAACTTCTCTTCCAGAGGACCACAGTTGATTCACAGCACCCACATGGTGGCTCAGAACAGTCTGAGACTCCAGTTCCAGGGAATAAAATAGCATCTTCTGATATTCCAGGGTACCAAGTACACATGAGGCACACTGCTGCACATGTAGGAAAAACTCCCACAATGGTGAAATAAAATAGGTAAATCTAATGTGGGTGTCAGTGACATTGTAATTCTGGAGAATATCTTAGTTTTGAAAGAATATTTCATGGTCATGGAAGCAATAGCTGGCATGATGAGATCCCAAGGATAAATCATTTGGAGTGTCTGCATCATCACTAGAGAATGACCATTGCAGGGCTCTTTATTAGTAATCTGTGTCATCCTGATGCTTGGGAGTGTTTCCTCTAGTGAATGGAGGCTTTCTTCATGACCTTGGGCAAGGAAAACCTTTTCTGAATTTAAGGGTTTCTTTTCGTACCTGAATTCTTAGTGGAGTACTCCTGGTATGTATATTTTATCCATCCATTGTGCAATTGTACTTCCTTATTGGTGTGTTTTAATTATTTTGGCAGAAAATGGACACACTTAAACATGATTGTGAGAAAGTCATGGATTTTTACCTCATCCCTAATCTTTGAGGTTTCCTATCAAGCGCTACACGTGTTTCCTCTGCTTGAACCTACTTGGGGCCTGTTTCTACCCAAAAATCTTGTTTTTGTTTTTGTTTTTTCCCTTTCGGGCAAGAGATTGGAATGTACACAATAAACTTAAGGTACCATATTTATGGAAAAGGCAGGTGACGAATACAGGGTGTGCGAGGCAGTGAGTGAGTGCATATCAAATCCCAGAGCATGTTTTCTTACAATGCAGTGAAATGCCAAAACGGAACAGGTTCATTCCAGAGAGTACAGATATGTTAGAGTTTTTGTTTTTAAATTTGTTGTTGTTTATTTTGCTTCCTTGCTTGTTTTGGTTTTCGAAATAGGGTTTCTTTGGGTACTATTATCTGTCCTGGAGCTAGTTCTCTGGACCAGGCTAGCTTCCACTTACTGATCACGATTAAAAATGCCTGACCATGCCGGGCTTCTTTGTTTCGTTTTGGGTCAGGATCTCACCATGTAGCCCTGAATGTCTTTTACAGAAGTTCGCCTTCTAGAGTGTGGGCACCTGAACTTTCCTAAAATGTTTTGATACTTTTCGCTGAGTCAGTAGAGTTCTCCAATCAGGGACCATAGTACTAAAAGGAATGAACTGTCCAATCGGGAGCACGGATAGTAGCAGCGTGCGTCCCGGAAGTCTTTTTAATGCTTTGCTTAGTAACGGGATCCTTGTGAGGACCTGTTTTGGGAGACTTTGTGTTCTGCCGACTACAGGCATCTTTGGAAGGAAACCTAGACACATCAGAAGCACGAAATGGTGAGTATGCCTTGGGCTCCTGGATTCTTGGGTGTCAGGGTTGGCACACCAGCTCCTTTGCGTCGCCAGCACCTGGCGTTTCTCCTGGTGCTTGCAGTCCAGTGGAAAGTGGAAACTGGGCCAGCCGTGCCTATGCCCACGCCTACGTGCTCTTGAAGTGTGCACCCCACAGGCAGCCTTGAGCCCCACGTAGCCCACTTTTTTGTCCTGGTGAAGCTGCTTCCTCGCAATCCCCAGCCCTCTTGGGTGACTTCTTTCCGTGTACCTGCGCCTACACAGACCTGCAGCACTGGCGGGTTGGTATTGCTGAGTCCAGACTGTGCTCTGTAGAGACGTGGGTGTTCTGTGCAGTTTACCTTCTGTTGTGCTTCTGTTTGCTCTGATTCCCCTCCCCCCCCCCCCCCCCCCCCCCCCCCCACTTATCACCTCGGATTTCATTTCTGTCTTCTTCCTTCCCCTCCCTCATCTGGTCTGCCTCAGAATAGTGCCCCCATGCTTCGTGGTGTTCAAGAAGTTTCCCACAGAGCTGTGTGTCTACTCCTTAACACCTCATTCAATATGGTTTTTGCATTTTCCCCTGTTTTCTTGTTTGTTTGTTTTAGTTTTTAAAAAATTATTTTAGATGTATTTGTTTTATTGTGTGTGTGTGTGTGTGTGTGTGTGTGTGTGTGTGTGTGTGTTTTGCTTGCATATATGTCTGTGTGTCATGCGCATGCTTGGTGGTGTCTTTGGATCCCATGGAACTGGAGTTTCAGATGGATGAGAACCACCTTGTGGGTGATAGGAACTGAACAAGTGCTATTAACCACTGAGCCACCTCTCTAGCCCCCCTTCTTGCTTTAGTTTTACAAAATGATAATGTATGAGAATTTTTTCTTATTCTCTTGACTGCAGTTGTTCCATCTAATTGCCTGCAGATTTCATGATGTCTTTTTTTAAACAGCTGAATTGTACTCCATTGTGTAACTGTACTACATTTTCTTTATTCATTCTTCTGTTGAAGGAAATCTGTGCTGTTTCCAGTTTCTGGCTATTATGATAGACCAGCAATGAATATTGTTGAGCAAGTGTCCTTGTGGTATGTTGGAGCATCCTTTGGGTTTATGCCCAAGAGTGGTATAGCTGGATTTTGAGGTACATCAAGTCCCAACTTTCTGAGTGTTGTACAAGTTTGCACTCCCTCTAGCAATGGGTTAGTGTTCCACTTATTCCACATCCTCACTGATGTGAACTATTATTTGTGTTACTGATTTTAGCTATTCTGACAGGTACAAGATGGAGTCTCACAGTACTTTTGATTTGTGTTTCTGTGATGGCTAAGGAGGTTTTTCTCAGCCACTTGAGTTTCCTCTATTGACGATTCTCTTTTCAGATCTGATCCCCATTTTTTAATTGGATTATTATTTTTTTAATATCTAGTTTCTTGAGTTCTTTATATATTTTGGGTATTAGTCTTACATTGGATATGGAGCTGGTAAAAATCTTTCTCCATTTTTTTTTTTTTTTTTTTTTTTGGTTTTTCAAGACAGGGTTTCTCTGTGTAGCTTTGCGCCTTTCCTGGAACTCACTTGGTAGTCCAGGCTGGCCTCGAACTCACAGAGATCCGCCTGCCTCTGCCTCCCGAGTGCTGGGATTAAAGGCGTGAGTCACCACCGCCCGGCTCTTTCTCCATTCTATAGAACGATTCTCTGAATGATGGTGTACTTTGCCATACAGAAGTTTTTAAGTTTCATGGGGCCCCATTTATTAATTGTTGATCTTAGTGCCTGTGCTATAGGTTCTGTTTAGGAAGTTGTCTCCTGTGCTGATGTGTTCAAGACTATTCCCTACTTTCTCCTCTACCAGGTTCAGTGTATCTTGCATCTTTTGAGGACTTTGATCCACTTGGACTAGAGTTTTGTGAAGAGTGGTAACTATGAACTGTTTGCATTCTTCTGCACACAGACATCCAGTTTGACCAGCACCATTTGTTGAAGATGTTGTTCTTTTTTCCAGTGGGTGTTTCTGGCTTCTTTATCAAAAATTGGGTGTCCATAGGTGTGTGAATTTTTGTCTTGGTTTTCAATTTTATTCCATTGGTCAGCTGGTCTATTTTTAGGGCAACATCATGCAGTTTTCACTACGATACCTTTGAAGTACAACTTGAAATTAGGAATATTGAGACACCCACCCCCCAGCAGTTCTTTTATTGTTTAGAATTGTTTTAGCTATCCTGAATGTTTTTTTTTTTTCCCAGATGAAGTTGCAAATTTGTCCTTTCCAGGTCTATGTTTTGGAATTTTGATGGAGATTGCATTGAATCTACAGATTGCTTTTGGAAGGATGGCCATTTTTACTATGTTAATACTACTGATCCATGAGCACAAAAGAGCTTTCCATCTTCTGATATCATTTTCAATTTCTTTTTTTAAAGACTTGAAGTTTTTATCATACATGTCTTTCACTGGCTTGGTTAGTTACCTCAAGATATTTTATATTATTTGAGACCATTGCGAAAGTGTTGTTTTCCTGATTTTTTTTCTCAGTCCATTAGTCATTCTTACATAGGAGAGCTACTGATTATTTTGAGTTAATTTAATATCCAGCTACTTTTTCTGAAAGTGTTTATCAGTTATAGAAGTTCCCCAGTGGAATTTTTAGAGTCACTTATGTATACTATGATGTCATCAGCAAATAAAGATACTTTGACTTCTTTCTTTCCAGTTTGTATCCCTTTGATCTCCTTTAGTTGTCTTATTGCTCTAGCTAAGTCTGCAAGTACTATATTAAATAGGTATGGAGAGAGTGGACAACCTTGTCTTGTTCCTGATTTTAGAGGAATTGCTGTAAGCTTCCTTCCATTTAATGTGATGTTGGTTATAGGCTTGATGTAAACTGCCTTTATTATGTTTAGGTATGCTCCATGTATACCTATTTACTCCTGGACTTTTACCATGAAGGGGTGTTGGATTTTATCGTAGGGACTTTTCTGCATGTAATGAGATGATCATCTGTTTTTTTTTTTCCTTTCATTTCTTCATATGATGGAGTACATTTATTTTGTGTGTTGAATCATCCATGCATCTTTGGGATGAAGCCTACTTGATCTTGGTGGATGGTCTTTTTTTGATGTGTTCTTGGATTCAGTTTGTAAGTATTTTACTGAGTTTTTTTTCTTTTACCGGAGCTGAGGACCGAACCCAGGGCCTTGCGCTTGCTAGACAAGCACTCTACCACTGAGCTAAATCCCCAACCCGTTTATTATTTTTGCATTCATGTATAAGTGAAATTGGTCTGTAATTCTTTCTTTGTTGGGCCTTATGCAGTCTGTGTATCACGGGAACCGTGTCCTAATAAAATGAATTGGGCAGGAGTCCTTTTTCTCTTTTGTGGAATAATTTGAGGAGTATTGGCATTAACTCTTCTTTGGAAGTCTGGTAGAATTCTGCACTAAAACCCTTTGACCTTGGGCTTTTTTTTTTTTTTTGGTTGGTTGGTAGACATTTAATGACTCCTATTTCTCAAGGGGTTATAGGTCTATATACATTGTTTATCTGATCTTGGTTTAACTTTGGTAAAGTGTCTATTGAGAAAACTATCTGTATCTTTTAGATTTTCCAGTTTGGTGAGTACAGGTTTTTGAAGTATGTCCTTATGAGTCTCTGGATTTCCTTGGTGTTTGTTATGCCTCCTTTTCATTTTCTGGTTTTGTTAATTTGGATATTCTCTCTCTGCCTTTTAGTTAGTTTAGATAAGGGTTTGTCTATCTTGTTGATTTTTCTCAACCAACTCTGTGTTTCATTGATTCTTTGTGTTGTTCTCTTTGTTTCTATTTTATTGATTTCAGCTCACAATTTGATTATTTCCTGTTGTGTACTTCTCTTGAGTGTGTCTGTTTCTATTTGTACTAGAGCTTTCAAATGTGCTGTTAAGTTGGTAGTATGAGATCTTCCAGTATTTTTATACAGGCACCTAGTGCTATGAATTAGCCTCTTAGAATTGCTTTCATTGTGCCCTGTAAGTTTGGGTATGCCATGTATTCATTTTCATTGAACTCTAGATTGTCTTCTCTTTCTTTCTTTACTTCTGTCTTGACCTGTTTTTCATCTAGTAGAGAGTTGTTCAGTTTTCATTAGTTTTAGGCTTTCTGTTGTTTTGTTGTTGTTGACATCCAGCTGTGTTGGTGCGATAGGATTTAAGGAGTTATTTTGTATCTGTTGAGTCTTGCTTTGTGTGGATGTATGTGGTCAATTTTAGAGAATGTTTCCTGAGGTGCAGAGAAGAAGTTTTATTCTTTTGTGTTAGGGTGAAATGTCCTGTAAATATCTGTTAGGTCCATTTGGTTTATAATGTCTATTAGCTCCAGTATTTCTCAGTTTAGTTTTTGCCTGAGTGACCTGTCTATTGGTAAGAATGGGGTATTGAAGTCTCCCACTATCTGTGTGTGAGAGTCAATGGGTGACTTAAGCTGTAGAAATGTTTCTTTTTATAAACTTTGGTACCCTTGTGTTTGGGACATAGATATTAAGAATTGAAATGTCATTTTGTTAGATTTTTTTTTTTTCCTTTGATGAGTATGAAGTTTCCTTCCCTATCTCTTTTGATTAGTTTAGGTTTGAAGTCTATTTTATTATATACTAAAATGGCTACACCAGCTTGCTTCTTAGGTCCTTTCACTTGGAATTTCTTTTTCCAACCCTTTATCCTGAGGTGATGTCAGTGCTTGATATTGAGGTGTGTTTCTTGGATGCAACAGAAGGATGGATCCCGTTTTTCATCCATTTTGTTAGTCTGTGTCTCTTTATTGGGATCTTGAGACGATTGACATTGAGAGATGTCAATGACCAATGATTGTTGATTCTTGTTATTTTGTTGTTGTTGTTGTTTGTGGTGGTGGTGTGTGTGTCTGTGTGTGTCTGTGTCTGTGTCTATGTGTGTGCTTCCCTTTTGATTTTGCTGGTCTGAGATTTATTCCCTGTGTTTTCCTGGGTATAGTTAACCTCCATAGTTTTTTAGTTTTC